GTTTGGAAAGTGCAAAATAAGTATACATTTTTACTTTTTACGAATATATATACACAAAAGTAGAGATGTGATATAACATAAAAAAGATAATTAAGTACACTTTTTATTTTTACAAAAAGATGTGTAGAAAAGTAGAGATGTGATATGATCCAAAAAATATAAAAAGATAAAAAAGTGAGTTAATAAGAGACTTCCCAAACAACCTTGTCAGAGCTTTCTAAAAAGTGTATTTTTTTAAACATCTTCAAGAAAAATTCTATTAGAAATCTTAAGTATATTGCTTTTTCTTTTGTTTATTAATATTAAATTTTTAATTAATTTTATTTATTGTTTTAAAAAAATAAATTAGCAAATAATTTATATATATATATATATATATATGTAATTTTGTTTTGGTTGCTCAGGTTATTTGGTGTTTCTACCCAAGTTCACTCAAATTTAATTTGAATTTTTGAATTTCTACATAGGTTCTCACTTAATTAAAAACTATATTGTTCAATATTTAAAAAAATTTAAGTTCGACTTAAGTTTTGTATAAAAATATATTATTAATTTTTTGTATATGACGTGCATAGCACGGGTTACCACTAAAAAAATAGCACTCCAACTATATTATTAATTTTTGTATAAAAATATATTATTAATTTTTTGTATATGACGTGCATAGCACGGGTTACCACTAAAAAAATAGCACTCCAACTATATTATTAATTTTTGTATAAAAATATATTATTAATTTTTTTTATATGCCGCGCACAACCCATGCTATAAATGTTTATGTACTTTTTTTTTAAATAAAAAAAATTAACTAAATTAGTCAATTCCTAAAATAACCCTGAGTGTTAATCATCTAACAGTCAACCTCAAAGAAAATAATAATATTCTGATAATTATATTTGTTTTGTACATTTTATTTAAGAAAAAATAATTTTTTTCATTCATGATATAGTGCAATGAAACTCAATGAATTATAATAATAATAATAATCAAATACAATACAAAATTAATAAAAATAAATTCTCAAAATGATAGAAAAAAAAAATCTTAACAAATACACGAGAAACAAAGATCTCAAATTGTAAACAAAAGAAGAAAATAAAAGAGAAAACTCACGTTTGAAAAAAAAATAATAATTTAAATAAATGGCTAAAAAATGGAAATTAATAAAATATTCTCCCAGGACGTGTCCGTATTCTCTAATCAATCATTATTCATTATACTCTCTCTTGTGCTTTAATCACACAACGCAATACCCCACCTACTCACATTCTTCGCCAATCACAATAGTATGGAGTGCAATATGTCTATATTTTGGAGGAGAGAGAAAATGGATTTGCAGAGTAAAAATTAAACATATAAGGAAAATATGTTTAGAAAATTTCAACAGATAGGAAATTGAATTGTTATTTTAACAGATAAAAAAATTTGTACAGATAAAAAATTAGACATATAAGGGAAACAAATTGAATAGATAGTCAAAAAAAATGAATAGATAGATATAAATTTGAACAAATAGTAAAAAAAATTAACAGATAAATTAAGCCGTAAAATTGAAAACAAAATATCCTCTAAAACTAACAAAAGGACTTCTTACCAAACTATTTCACAAACCTCTCACCAACAATTTTACAGATCTTTCACTAATAAAAAAATATTCACTAAATCAAATGCCTTATATGTTCCTTCGATTGAACTTTTTTACAATTTTTCATAACTAAAACCAAAATATTCAAAACAAAATTTTTTAAAATCAAAGCAAATAGAGGTAACTTCTCACTAATCTCAAAGTTTAGAAAATTCATTTCAAATTCCTTTGAAAAACAAAAGACGGAAGGACGTAAACATGTTTTATACTTTTTATTTTTTATTTTTTATACAGGTTATACGGTACATTCAAATGCCATCATTGATTATTTTATGTTTCATCTGTCTTAATTACATAATCCCTGTCAAATATTATTCAAAAATGAGATTTTTTTATCTATTTTTGAGTGATCTTGTTGCTGACTATGTTTCTTCTTTATTAAATATTTTTAAAAAAGATATACACTCTTGTGTTCTAGTCGATTACACCAACTAAAAAATAAAATAAAGAGAGTCAAAATTTTGGAAAAAAGTCCACACAAAAAAACTACTAAAAAAAGCTGGGGGGAAAAAATGTGACTTTTGTAAGTGGGATCCAAAACTTACCCTAACCTTTTCAGAATTCGATGCCAATAGTAATCGTTCATAATTTTAAATAGTTTGGAGGACTTCCATTTACACCATAGATGCACACCCAACATCTTTTCTTAACTCCCATTCTTTGAATCTTACAATCTAAGGTTCTTCAAACGACTAGTGTCATTGAGCTTAAGTTCGTTTTTTTTCTTTTTTTAAAGAAATGTAAATGAGTGACCATTTAATTATTTTCTAGAGAAAATCAGTGTCCTTAATTGTGCCTGGTGGTCTTCCATAAAATTAATGCATGCTGTGAGTTTTCCTTACAATTTTTTAGGCATTATATTTGATTTTTTTACTACAAACATTATTTGACCTTTAATAAATGCCTAATAGACCGTTTGTAAGACCCTAAATAATCTAATATGACACCTAATTCATTATTCTAATAAAAAAAAAAGGCTAGGCTTCCCTCCAGTCCGATACTGTTGGACCCCGTGAGGGCCCATCAAAGGTCTTATTTTGATAATCCGAACTGTTTAATGTACAAAACTCGTCGGTACTATATGTCTGTAAAAAATCACGTTGATCAGATATCAATAGCTATCTCATCGGATCAGATTTCTGTCAACCGTTTATTTTTTCACCGTCCATTTTTTTATACAAAACTGATTTGATCATATAACTATTGATATCCAATAAACGTGATTTTTTACAGGCATATAGTAATCGACGAGTTCTACATATTCAACGGTTTAGATTATCGAAACGGGTCCCGTAATAAGTCCCCACGAGCCCAACAGTACCTTTCAATCATGGAGGAAAGCCGACTCCTAAAAAAAAATCTGAAGTATGAAATTTTGATATTCATTTTAGGGGAAATTACACTGACATGAGTCGGTGAAAAACTATTTACAAACAAATAAAAAAAATATTATAAATATTAATAATTAATGTTATAAACTTTTTCTCATTAATTTATAATTTTTTTTATCTACCCAATTGTTAAGTGATTCCTCCTTCATTTTACTTACATATTAAAAAGTGTTTAATTATGGTAAGGAAAGGTTTGTCAAAACCACCTACATGAATTGATTATGAGAGAGTTTGGGAGGTGGTTATGTGAATTGATTTTTTAATTATTTATAAAAAAATTATGTAAAAAGTAAAGAGGATGATATGATTGTGTGCTATAATTAAAAGGCCACCACCTCAAACGGGCCTTTAGTGTTGTATGTGAGGTATTTGTAAACTTTAAATTATTTGTATGTTTTGAATTATTGAAGTTGAAATGATTTTTATTGACTTCATTCGGTATCACTTATAAATTAATTTATTACTTTAAAAAAAAGTTGATTGATGGTAAATTTTAAATTCTTTAAATGTTTTGAATTATTGAAGCTAGCAAAGTTTACACTGGCCTCATTTAGTATCACTTATAAATTAATTAATTTAATTTATTTTTTAAAAAAGAGTTGACTTATGGTGTTTACTTATTTATAAATTGTAACTTTTTTGGTTTATTTGAAAATCTTAAACATATATGGACAAAAAAATCCCATTTCGTTTGTCATAATTGTAACTTTTGTTATGATTATTTTATAACAAAAAAAGTTATGGGACAACTTATTTAGCGAAATAGATTCAATTTCTTTTCACAAATTATAAAAGTTGATCAAAGAAATTCATAACTTTTTAAAGTATTTTAAGTTAATAATCTAAAATGCTATAATCATAAAAGTAACTTATAAGTAATACCAAACGACCCTATTAAAAAAAGATATAAGCATATTTCACGTGCAACGTACATGTCCTACCACTAATATGTATATATATATATAGATGTGTATATGTGTTTTGAAACAAATAAGACAAATATAACAGTAAAAAAAAATTTTAAATAAACATAAAAAGACTAGCCAAATATATGCACACACCCAACCCGAACGAAGAAGAAAATGCAAACAAGCAATCGAGAATAGTGAATCTAATGGGAGATTATTCAATACTTCCGGAATACATGTGGTCATACTCTAAGTAAATCACCAATTATTTAATCTCACGTTGTTCTTTATCCTCAACATAAATTATGAGCCCTTATGTCTCTCTACCAATCAAAACCTTATAGAACACCATGTATTCATACTTTAGGCCAAACAAGCAATCGAGAATAATTAATCTAATGGGAGATTATTCAATACCCCCGGAATACATGTGGTCATACTCCAAGTAAAACACCAATTATTTAATCTCATGTTGTTCTTTATTCTCAACATAAATTATGAGGCCTTATGTCTCTCTACCAATCAAAACCTTATAGAGCACCACGTATTCATACTTTAGGAGTACTGAATCACCCGAATCTAATAAACATAAACATCCAATAAACATATCTCTCTCCAAAATATGAACACATACTTTAGACCTAACAGAACAAAATCTTAACTATATACCATTTAACAATTTCAAAATACCAACAAACAATATATATCTATACTATATATAAAGTGAACACCCTTTATGGTGTCTTAAAGCCTTGGCTTTTTATGCTACCATGTGTCCACTTTTTTATTTAAAAAAAAAAAGATAGATAGATGAAAGAAAGGGACTTGAACCTTGGAACTTATGTCAAGTGAAGAAGTCTCTTACCCCTTGAGTAGCATACAATATATAATAAATATTTTATTTTATTTTTACTTATTTGAATTGTACACGCATCGCGTGTGCCAACCGCTAGTATATATATATATATATATATATCTAGTATCTACTTCTAAACTTTTCATCAACCTCTGCATGGCTATGGCTCATGAGATTTTCTTCCTCACCATCATAAACCTGATCACTAGAATTTGCCATTTTTCTTACCAAAAACCGGCGGTTCGATTGACAAATAATAACAAATTTGCCTTGGCGGTGCGGTTTGGTGCGGTTTTGGCGATTTCGGCGGTTTCGACGGTATTATGCACACCCCTATCCGCGGCAACCAATGAAAAGTGTACTTGTAGCGGGCAACATCCAATATCAAAAGCATGTCTCCGCCCTTGTGATATGCAGCCATTGGTGAAAAATGACCATCACCCGTCTAAATTTCAAAAAATAATAATAATAAATTAAATTTATTATATTATAACAAAAGTCATAATATCATAAAAATAATTAAATCAATATTCAAATCTAAAACAAAATAAATCAGCAAATTACCTGATTGACCGTCTTCCTAGAGTAGGACAGAATCATATACAACTCTTCTGTTGAAGTCGTTTGGATCACACAGTTTGTTGAAGTCGTTTGGATCACACAGTTTGTAAATTGCTCTAAAGAGCTATGTTGAGCCTTGAATGCTTCAATGTCGACATGTTTCCTAGCAAGTTCAGCAAAACTGCCAAATGTGATTCCTTTTTTCTAGACATAACCCATGATCTCCGAATCCCCGATCATGGGATCCTCAAACCAGCACCACGGACCTACAACAAAAAAACAAAATAAAATAATAATAAATGAAGGAATGAGCATTGAGACAAAAACATAACAAGCATTAATTATTGGAGCATGAGAGAACAAAAGGGCAACAGAAAAGCAAATCAGATATGTGAGCAATGAGCCCCTGGGATGCAGTGTGGTTGCTCTGCCCTTTGCATAGCAGCCACTGCTGTGAGATGTAATAAGGCTCACTTTAGGTCCTATCTCAATGATCCAAATCACTCATTTTTTAGTGTACATCAATTAGTATATTCTCGTAAAAAATTAAGTCGATCAGATATCGATAGCCTCCTAATCAGAACAAATTTATATTCACTTTTATACTAAAAAATACACCAAGCGTTTATTTTTGTAGATACAAATTTGCCCTAAACATAAGTCGATTAATATCCAATCAATTTGATTTTTTTCAAGAATGTTCTACTCGACGTACCCTAAGAAATAAACGGTTCGGATTTGTAAGAAATAATGTATAGAGAAAGAGAGAGAATAAATTGTATGTATTATTATTGATTGATATATTGATGTTTTATTGTCTATTACAAATGGTTCCTTATATAGATGTAGGTGTAGTGGATGGTGTGTAGTGGATGGTGATAGTGGTGTAGTGGGTTAGGTTTAGTGGAGTAGGTGAGGTGGTAGTGGTGTAGTGGGTTAGGTTTAGTGGAGTAGGTGAGGTGGTAGTGGTGGTAGGTGATGGTAAATTCTAACAGGATTATTAAGGAGTAACCCAAAGTGAGCCCTATTACGCTCACAACAGTGGCCACACTGCATCCCCTGCTTATGCCCCTTTCATTTCATTGGCCACCTCATCATTAGTGATGCTATAGTAATTTAGATTTAATAATATCACACTGAAATATACATGGTAACAAATTCAATTACAAAAATCAATATAACAATCTTTCCTAAATAATTGCAAGTTTAACAAATAGAAACTCTAAGACTAAACTGAACTTTTTTAAACACATTGAAACAAGTTTTATATTGAAAATTGAAACAAAATTTAGCAACCTCTTCAGATGAAAAGGGAATTTATTGAAGGAAAACACATTAGGAAAACTAAACCCAACCGCTTTTTTATTAGACCTAAAGGTGGCCCAATGAAATGAAGAGGGGATAGAAGGGGATACTGTTATCAATTTTTTTTTTCCCCTCACAACTATCTATACAACCAAAAAATCATTGCAAATATACTACCCAAAAATTATTGCAAATATACTAACATTTCTCATTGCATAACAAAGTCAAAAAATAAAAAATCACTAAAAAAATTAAGTCGTAAAACTCCCACTCAAATTCATCAAAAATCTGTCAAAAGAAGAGGAAACCAACAAAACCCTACTTGCAACATAAATCAAAAAATTGTTTTAGGACAAATCAACAATAAGTTACCCTTCTACGTTTTTTACTTTTCGCACATTTTTTTAATAAAAATTGAAAAAGTTATTCTCAAACACCTTTTATACTATTACAACATATTTTAATCAAAACCCAAAAAATCACTAGAAAAACACTTCCTAAACGAACCCCTAATCGAAATACCAATCCAGCCTCAATGGATTGAATACTAGAAAAGGAGGCTTTAGACACAGAACTTTTAGTGACAGTTTAAAAATCACAAAAAGCTTAAAAAACTGTCGCAAACTTATTTTTTTGCCGATGACATTTGATTTTTGCAAAAAAGACACCGACTAAATATCACTATTAGAGACGGAAAATTCAAGACTGTGCCAAAAAGTAATATTGTATTCATGCCCTCCCCCTCCCCCTCCCCCTTTCCCTCTCATCTCTAAACTTTGGTAATTGATGTTGCAAGACTACTTTACATTTGGAAGTTCAATAAGTTTTGATTATTCACTACTACAATAATGGTTAAAGATCGCACAAGAAATATTAAAAATATCTCACTTTTATTACAAGTGTAATTAAAAAAATTAAAATAATATTTCAATCATAGTTAATTTAGTTGAGTGAGATAATATTTATTTTTAATCTCAACTTCCAAGTGATTAAATAATTTTTTTTTAATCACAGTTTCTATGTAAGTGTGATTGTGTATATATTTTTAATTTTATTTTTATATTTATATAATAAGGCATGAGGGTTTTTGAATTTGTCCTAAGGAAAAATATAACAGGTACTAAATTTTCTACCAAACAAATGATTACATGCCTCACATAAATGTGGGGTCTACAAAATTACGGAGCCACATTTAATCATTTATTTAATAGAAAATTTGGTATTCCTAACATTATCTTATCCTAAGTGATAAGAAATTGTCTTATTTATAACCAACTATTCAGATCAATATCAAAATCTAAGGGCCAAATATATAACATTGCCTGCCTCTTTGGATTCCTGCTCATGAATACCAATCACACCTCCCCCTATCTTTCACAGACGTCCTCCACTCTCTCTCTCTCTCCCTCTTCTTGGTTTTACCTATGGCAACTTTGTTGAAATTCGAGTGCACTATTTGATCAAATGCAAGGAAGATCGGTCGACACAACCAGCAAGAAAGAGAAAGCGCCATCAAGATCAGTATCCTCTTCAAATTTTTCCTCCCTTTCCTTGGCATATCTAGCGTTTCTTAGTTCATTGTTTGTTTATTTTTTTGTCGATTTTTCTTTTTGGGCATTTTTGTTTTGTGTGTCTCTTTGTATGCATACACTATGTTCTGTAAAATGCCTCACATATGTCTCTAAATTTTTTTTCTAAAATGGGTCTCCAAAATGTCTCAAAATTTTTATTTGGGTTTTCGTTGGGTGTCTAACATATGCAACATGAGAGTGTAATTTTTTAGGGGGTAATCCAATGGCCCCATCAGCATGAGACTCAGGAACAGAATGTTTACAAAAGAGATTAAAATTTGAATTATCAAAGCCCGTGTTTTCAGAAATAGAAGTATGGAAACTATTTCTTTCTCGTTGTAATCTACTAATTGAAAATTCGTCCTGATTACTATATCTTTTGTTGGGTGGGTGGGTGAGGGGAAGGGGGATTCAATTTTCAAGATATTAGTCTCCTTTCCTTTTTGTTCTTTTTGGTGAATGATCGGTTAAGGCCGTTGATCTAATTACTGAACACGCATACTGTCACCCCATCTGCAAAAATATGGGCTAATCTTATATTGAAGCAGCCAATTAAAATGTTGATCTAATGCTTCATACCACTCCTTACTTCCTCAAATCTTCAATTAGGGTATCAGAGATTCTAAATACAATTAAGGAAGTCTGCACTCATCTACTTATACTGACAGAACGGACTCTCAAATCTCTAATATTATAATAAAAAAAAAACCCATAAAATTCTTAATACAGCATAACATTCTTTTAAAGTGTTCACATCCAAAAAACTATTTCTGAATTAATAAATTTATTGTAGCATATTCATGCTAGTATATTACAGTCTCTCCTTGAGCAATCAATGTCAAGGTATGACATGTGATCGCTCAGATTTTACCAAAATATTAAGCAAACTTAATGGAAAAGTCTATATTTGGGGGAAATTATTAAGAACTGGACCAATTTGTAATAATTCTCTACAACTCTTTTTGTATGAAACTGTGTTTGCATGATGTTATGTTATTACATGATCAAACATGACAACAAATTTTGTTTATGGACTTATTTAAATGAATTTACTCAACAAGTAGATTTATCTGCATCATGGCTCTTCATTCATAAGTATCTCAACCTTAAGTGGTGTTATGACCACCTTGAAATTTGGTAACTACAAGCTTTTTGGAATATAATGTGCCTATTACTACCAAAACATAAATAGAACATGTACTAGAAAATGTCTCTAGCCCTGCCAGCAAAGCTTGTTAGAGATGGAATAGAGACTTGGGCTCTAGTCAAGTCACCCTTTGAGCTTGAACATCATCTCATGAACTGAGTTTATGTTGGCCTTCTATGACCTGAGTTTCTGGATCAGATATAGTGGGTTCTGAAATGGACAATAGGAGAATTACTACCAGTCCTTGGCTGTGATGACCGAGAAAGGTTTGATTGTGTTTCTCATTTATATTATGTAATTTGTTTCTCATTTGCAATGTAAATTGTTTCTCATTTACTTCTCACAACCAAGAATATTGCCTCAATTAAAATTTGTCTCTTTCCCCCTCTATATTTTGTGTCTTCATGCATACACCATGTTAGGTAAAGCCTTAATTAAAATAGTTTATTTTCTTTTGGTTAAACCAGTTATTTATATAATTCTACATTTTTGTTGTTCAAATAGTAAGTGAATCTATTATAACAGACCAAGTAAATGACTAAACAACCTTTCCAAAATGTAGTGTGTGGTGGTAAGTATAGCAAAAATAGAGGTATATTCAAATGGGTAATGCAAACAGTGGGAGTTGGATATTATTTTTAGTAGACAATTTTTAGGGAGTTGATTTTGGATAATGGATAATGGAGCTTGCTTACTTATATTTTCTATTCTTTGGAATGACATAGGCACGAATTTATTAAGATCATTTCAAACTTTCATTTTCCTCTAAGATTAAAAATTTAAAACTTCCACTCTCTCTCTCTGATGCTTTTAATTTCATTTTTGGAGATGTAGGCCCCCAAAGTCCATCAAGGACCAAGGTTGAGAGCTGTGAGTTTTCTCTATTCCAACTGCACCTACCAGTAAGTTTCTCCTTTATTCCCAATTTTACTACCGTTAAATTAAGTTCCATTTGGGTACTCTCTCTCATGCTTTTGTGTTTTTGTGAGTATGCTTTCTTTCATATCTTGGTTCTGTCAATTGATTTGGTAAGCAATTTCATCAAAATTTTTTTTTTGGTTAACCAATGCTTTTATCAATTGATGTCATGAAATGGTTATGTAATATATCTTTTTTTGTTTCAAATTAGAAGGTACTCCCTATGATTTTATTTTTCCTTTAAAATGAGCGGTTTCTTCGCTACATAGCCGCGGTGTGTCAACCTCTTAAGCAATTTCGGTGTTCACATTAATTCAAACCATGGACAATATCAATATCAACATCAATATTGAGGCCTAATTTTTACTTATTATTATATCTAATTTTTCATAATAAAATGCTTTTGTATTATGTTTAACAGCTGGATAAACGGGATAATATTAGATCCATATACCAATTTTTTTTTTTTTATTTAATCTGCATTTTCTTAATATGAGTTGAGCTACAACATGTAAACATGACATAACTTTCATCATTGTAGTTTTTGTATGTTTTTTTTCCTCTAAAGTATCTGCCAATTCGGGTTTTCATCGAGTTTACTTTACTTCAATTTCTCATTTACTCGATGTACGGGGAGCAAATATTCTGCGGAGCCCGTACTCCTTTCGTCCAAGCTCTTCGTTTGTCTGATCGACCTGCGAGCACAACGGCGGTGAGCTACCCGGCAGTGTGTGGCCGGAAAACCCCTCCGACGATCAAGTTAGCACACACTCAGGGATAGAGAGAGAGAGGAGAGAGAGTTGAGTGTTTTTGGTTTATCTCACCAAATGATGTTCTCCTTCCAGCATAGGGAGCGCAGCCATACTTATATACTTTCTGTGCTCAACTGTGCACCCATTAGTCTCTCGACACGTGGAGCTGCTCTCCCATCTGTCAGTACAAATCCAGCGAACACCACCTAACCAAACCGCCAGACAACATTAGCGGGAACTCGGCAGCCCGACGGCATTACCTCGACCTTCCACGACCGTGTTGCATAACGTGCCTGAGTGCTCCACTCGCCGAGCTCCATAACGGCCGAGCTTGGTAGCATTCCGGCAAAGTCGAGTTCAAGGCAGGTCGGCCGGTGAACAGAAGACATTCCCCACCAAGCTACGCGTGCGTCCCATGGAACCCAGGTTGGCAGGCGGTCATCTCGGCCAAGTAAGCTCGATCCAAACATGGGACCTGGACCTCGGGCCTGGGCCTCAACCGAGCAAGATCAACTCCAGGGAAGCCCAAGTTAGCTCGACCTAAACAGGGGGCCTGAGCCACAACCGAGTAAAACCCACTCGGAACAGGCCCAAATTAGCTAAGCCCAAACGTGCTCGGCCCTATCCAGTTCGGCTTCTTCCACGGCCCAAAGCCAGATTATAAATCTCCCTCGCAATTGCCCCTTAATTCCGTCCGCGCTAGCGTGACTGGGATTACATTACAAGGCCGGGCTAGACTCTTTGCTCGGTGGTTCACTTCGCTTGATTTAGAAACTTCAAAGTTGACAAGCAAAGTCAGCTCGGCAACTTGCTTCTTGGCGAGTAAAATCAGCTCAGCAACTTCCTTGGCGAGCAAAATCAACTTGGCAAGGACCTTCAAAGTTAAACGGCCCTATCCAGTCCGGCTTCTTCCACGGCCCAAAGCCAGATTATAAATCTCCCTCTCAATTGCCCCTTAATTCCGTCCGCACTAGCGTGACTGGGATTACATTACAAGGCCGGGCTAGACTCTTTGCTCGGCGGTTCACTTCGCTTGATTTAGAAACTTCAAAGTTGACAAGCAAAGTCAGCTCGGCAACTTGCTTCTTGGCGAGTAAAATCAGCTCAGCAACTTCCTTGGCGAGCAAAATCAACTTGGCAAGGACCTTCAAAGTTAAAGAGAAAAGTCAGCTCGGCAACTTACATCTTGGCAAGCAAAATCACCTTGGCGAGGAACTCCAAAGTCGGCAAGCAAGGTCCGCTCCGCGACTTGCTTTTTGGCGAGCAAGATCAGCTCGGCAAAAACTCCAAGGTCGGTGAGCAAGGTCCACTCCGCGACTTGCTTCTTGGCGAGCAAAATCAGCTCGGCAAGGAACTCCAAAGTTGACGAGCAAAGTCAGCTCGGCGACTTGCTTCTTGGCAAGCAAGATCAGCTCGGCAAAGAACTCCAAAGTCGGCGAGCAAGGTCAACTCGACGACTTTCTTCTTGACGAGCAAATTTAACTCGGCAAGGAATTCTAAAATCGATTAAAACCATCAACAAACCTCTTGCCGAGAAAAATCCATTCGACAAGGAATTCCAAAGTTGATAAAATCATCAACAAACCTCTTGCCGAGCAAAATTCGCCCGGCAAGGAATTCTAAAGTTGATAAAATCATCAAGAAACCTCTTGTCGAGCAAAATCCACCCGACAAGGAATTTTGATCTTTCCGTCAAAATGATCATTAGTTGCCTCTTGGTCCGCACTAAATCTGCTTGGCGAGGCTAATATACAACAATTTTCAAGAAAATATTCTACTTGTTTCATTGCGCCAATGGCAAAAAGGGGTTACAAAAATAGAACTAAGAACAAAACTTTAGATTGGCTGAGTTCAATGTTTTGGAAATGGATCGGCCATTCACATTCTGTGAGTTTTTTGCCCCTTTTCCTCAGCCTTCTTACTAACGTCTTCCAAAAATCGAACTCCTTATAACCCTTCCATAGTGGTTTGCATGGCCATCATCTTGTCCGACTGCGTAAACCTTTCCCACTACTCTCTTGTTCTCTACTACCGAACTTGCCGTCACGGTAGCTGCAGCTGCATCGTCTTCGACTTGAATGTGCTCATTAATGTGTTGCATGAGTAATTTCATGGTCGACGATTGATTCAGTGTGAGCGAGTCTCTCAGTCGATGTCCAACTGGAAGACCGCGCTTATATTGAGTGATTGCAAGGTTGGTCGGGCAATCAAGGATCTCGTTGAAAGTCTCCTAATACTTAGTGTTATACACTTTCAAAGAGTTGCACGGCTCCATCTTTACTCTCAAGAGATGGTCAATTTCCTTGGGCGTTTTGGTGTCTTAAATTTGGTGACAAATGCCTCTGCCAACTACTGCCACCCCTCAATGCTTTCCTCCGGCAGCCTTTCAAACCATTTTAGGCCCAACTCGCCCAATCTCAATGGAAAAACAAGGCACATGAGCGCATCGTTTCCCCTGTGCCCAGCCATAACCTGCCGGAAGTGACTTACGTGCATATATGGATCAGTCTTTCCGTCATAGAGTGTGAACTTTGGTTGATGGAACCCGGGGGGGAGCCGTGTGTTCTCGATCTCTACAGAAAAAGTGGTGGTGCTCAGCCTTGCTAACTCTCTGTCTAATGGCGCATGTGCCGCCAAGCGTGGTTGTGGCATGGCGACTTTTTCATTGGTTCGCCCTCTAGGAACCAGCCGTTACAGTGCAGGCACCCTCTGTGCCTCCTGCCGGCGAGCGCGCTCTTCCAACATATCCTTCAAGTCTTTCGAACGGTCGAAGCGAGAATATCTCGACGCCGTCGTCGGGCGTGAGGGTGGTAACTGTTATCCTACGTGCGAGATATCATCGCCGACGCAACGTAGTCTCCAGCTTTGAGGCTTCTCGTGACAAAGAGTGAAGGGGTGCGACGTCTATTAGGACTGTTGGAACAGCGGGAATGGGCGCGCTCACTATGGTTTCCCACTCCAGCGACGCCCTTTCCTTTTATCTGGCGTCTCATGGCCTTTATCTCCGTCGCCATATTCTTGATGATGGTATCATGGTCTCTCAACTTGTCTTCCAAGTGTTGAGTGTGTGAATCTCGCCGTGGGTGACGCTCTTTTGGAATGACAGAGCGCCCAAAACTCCTTGCGCGCTTGTCTCGCGCATCCCAGAAAGTCCTTGTGCGGTCTCCAAATCAGCCATTGTCGGACTGGCGGACATGCCAACTCTGCACCGAGCAGACTCTGGCGTGATGTCGTCGATGGCAAACAACGAAATGTCGTCGTGGTTCGCCATAAAAGATGACCGGAAAAGCTTGGAGGACAAGGTTTTGTTTGTCGTTTTCCCACAGATAGCGCCAATTGTACGGGGAGTAAATATTCCGCGGAGCCTGTACTCCTTTCGTCCAAGCTCTTTGTTTGTCTGATCGACCTGCGAGCACAACGGCAGTGAGCTACCCGGCAGTGTGTAGCCGGAAAACCCCTCCGACGGTCAAGTTAGCACACACTCAGGGATAGAGAGAGAGAGGAGAGAGTTGAGTGTTTTTGGTTTATCTCACCAAATGATGTTCTCCCTCCAACATGGGAGGCGCAGCCATGCTTATATACTTTCTGCGCTCAACTCTGCACCCATTAGTCTCTCGACACGTGGAGCTGCTCTCTCATCTGTTAGTACAAATCCAGCAACACCACCTAACCAAACCGTCAAACAACATTAGCGGGAACTCGGCAGCCCGACGGCATTACCTCGGCCTTCCACGACCGCGCTGCGTAACGTGCCTGAGTGCTCCACTTGCCGAGCTCCATAACGGCCGAGCTCGGTAGCATTCCGGCAAAGTCGAGTTCAAGGCAGGTCGGCCGGTAAACAGAAGACATTCCTCGCCGAGCTACGCGTGCGTCCCATGGAACCCGGGTTGGCAGGCGGTCATCTCGGCCAAGTAAGCTCGGTCCAAACATGGGACCTGGACCTCGGGCTGGGCCTCGACCGAGCAAGATCAACTCCAAGGAAGCCCTAGTTAGCTCGGCCTAAACAGGGGGCTTGAGCCACGACCGAGTGAAACCCACTCAGAACAGGCCCAAATTAGCTCGGCCCAAACGTGCTCGGCCCTATCCAGTCCACCTTCTTCCACGGCCCAAAGCCAGATTATAAATCTCCATCTCACTCGATAATGGTTTTGAACAACTAAATATACTACGTGAATTGCAACGCGGCATAAAATGTGTTACCACCAATACCCGCCAACTTCGATACTTGGGTCTCACTTAAAAAATAGACTAAAATTTAATACCATTCTTACACATTCATCAACAAATCATTGGATATTGGATTTAACGAAATAGTAGATATATCTATATATACCTTTCCAAGGTCGTTCTGGATCAACACGAAGAGCATTAAGCACAGTGCACAAAGTTGCCGGACCACAAAAATTCAAATTCCTTTGCATTCTGAAGTTTTCAATTAGCTTTAGTGACCCAAAAGTTGTTCCTCCTGCTATGGCTTCACAGAACATAGCCTAAAAAATTTCATACGAACATCATGAAACTGAAACAGCTAATTTCATTGTTCAAAAAACAAAAAACAAAAAGCAAGAAAAAAACCAGCTAATTTCATTGTTCAAAAAACAAAAAGCACAAAAACCCACCTCTCCTTTAGTCGAAAATGCAATGGCAAGAGGATCCAATGGCCTTGTATATTGTGTTGAGAAAGCACGACGCTGGATTCTCTTTTCCTATTAAAACAAAAAATAGAGAGAAAGAACATTAATCTCAAACAAATAAATACCTAAACAAAAGTATTTGAATACAACTCGAGGTTTGCAAAATCAGATTGAGAACTCGCAACCTCAGTTTTGACATTACTACAATCAAATGACGTGGAAATCGAGCTAGTGTTGCTGAGATCAGTGACAGAGCTCCCAATAGGAGAAAGCTCGCCGAGAGGTATGAATTCGTCCTGTGTCACCATTTTTAAGCAAAGATTGGGACTCAGAGAGAGAAACTTGAAGAAATCTAGAGAGAGAGAGCCAGAGGAGGCTTTGAAGAATCTCTGGTTGGATGATTTACTATAGATGTATTCATAGGCCGTTGGTGACCGGTTTTAATACCATCAATACCAGCATCCGTTATGGTGCCTGTTTGGTTACGGGAATAGTAAAGGAATAGTAAATTCAACACAATCACCATCAGTGGCTGTCCAAGGATTGAACACAATCCCCGTCAGTGGCTGAACCCCAGAAGGACAAGGACATGCCCCTGGATTTTTGGGAATTTTTTTTTTTTTGTAAATATAAAAAAATATATTTTAAATAAAAAAAAATTACAAAAATATGATTAGAGTGAAATGTCCATGACATTTCAAAAATTATGAAAATAATAATAGTTGTTTTGATTGAAAATGAAGAAACTACTATAAACCATATTATATATGAAAAATTTATAAAAAAATTTGTTTTGATTGAAAATGAAGAAACTACTATAAACCATATTATATATGAAAAATTTATAAAAAAATTTAAATGTAACGATAATGTCATTATCATTGACATCAAGTATAAGTAATCTCATTATAAATATATGAAATTTATTGTATTGTTAGTTACATTTGACATGTGAGGTTCACTCTCTATGTGTTTATTTACTATTAATTAGTGATATCACATACTAATGATGACGTGATATTACCATTACAATGAATTTTTAATCAAATTTTGTATAATAATAATAATTTATCATTATATAGTTTATTTTAAGACTTATATCCATATTTTATTATATTGTCTATGATACACTAGTTATAAATAACATTATTTTTTTGATATTTTTCGAAATCAATTGTAAAAACTTGTGTGAAATATTTTTGTAAAAATTTTTGATATTGTAATTAATAAGTACCCCCCCTAATTTAATTTTTTGACTCCGCCACTGCCAATCATGCCTGTTTGGCTATGGGTACCGGTGATTGGTTTAGTAAATGTGCACCATGTTAGAAATGGTTTTGGAAAATATGATTTTTCCTTAATTTTGGTCTAATTTTTAGGTGGAACCCATGGATCAAATTTGGTGGGTCTAAATGGTAACGCGTTTTATGCCGCATTGTGATTCACGTGGTATATTTGATTACTCAAAACTATTATCGGGTGAATGGAAAATTGAAGCCAAAGAGAGCTCTATGGAAATGGTATTTTTGGTGAAATTTCCTAAAGGTTTGGTTTAAAGCTTGTCCCACATTGATTTTGTGGACAAGTTTTGAGTGGATTTATAAGACATGAGATTGTAACTTAGGGAGGACCTCAAGGGGCACCCCAAGTTTGTAGAAGGGAGAGGTTATGAGCAAATTGAGCTAAACCCATTGGACCAAAAAATAAACATGTGTCGTCTGTCCGTCCGGGCTAGGCTTAGCTTGGGCGCAGGTGCGTGGTATTAGGTTGGGCTTGTCCAGCCCAATACTAACTATTTTTTGGAATTTGAATTTTGAAAATTAATTTCAAAATTGGCTCCGATTTTTCCCCACCTGAATAGATGTATATCTGTGTGAATTTAAACCAAAGAGATTCATATCTATTTGAAATTTAAACCCAACAGGTTCCTTACCTGTTCATTCAAACCAAACAAGTATAATACTTGTTCAAACAGGTTTTGCACCTGTTTAATTCAAATCAAACAGCCACAAATTTTCTTAAATAAAGGCAGTCCCTCATTTGGATTTTCACTCCAATTTCCATCCCAAATTCTGCCTGCTCTCTCTGCATTTTGCTACATGATTTTTCCTGTGATTTGTGAAAAAAGTGTAAACACTAAGTGTGTTCATTGTGCGAATAATATGTAGTGCTGCTATTATTCGCAGTTGATCATTTTATACTAGGAGATAGATGTCCACAATCTGAAAATACCGTGCAGAGGACGAATTTGTCTTAAGGACACAGTGTTAAATACTGGACTTGATCAGAATTTGGTTCAATAAATACATAAGGTTATTAATTTATTTACTTTCTGTTTTATTATTTTTCCTGGTTCAGATTTTGATTTTGTTTTTGTAACAAAATAAAAATCTGTTTCTATTTATTTATTTTATATTCTAGTTTGATTTTTGAAATCAAACAATCTCTCTCATTTTCTTTATTTCTTCTGTTTGTTGTTATGTACACAAACATAATTTATTCGTAACACAATGAAGATTGTCCAACATACCAATCATGCCTGCTTGGTTATGGGTATAGTAAAGGTGCACCAGTCATGGGTAGGGCTGCAAATGAATCGAATTATTCATGAACAAGCTCGGCTCGGCTTGGTTCGTTTAGTAAATGAGCCGAGCTCGAGCTCGAATATTAGGCTCGTTTAGTAAACGAGCCAAGCTCGGCTCGTTTATCTTTATTTAAATTATGTAATAAATATATTATTTATATATTAAATAATATAAATAATATTTTTTTATTTAAATAATATAAATAATATTAAAAAAAATTATCGAGCCGAGCCGAACCGAGCCAAGCTCGAGCTCAACAAAGTTTGCCTCAGCTCGATTCATTTGCAACTCTAGTCATGGGTATAATAAAGGTGCACCAATCATGCATGTTTGGTTATGGGTATAGCAAGAGTGTTTGGTTACGGGACAGTCCACTTTGTGACAGCGACTCCAAATCACCACCATTTATTATTTATATTTTATTTTTTAAAATTTCTAGTATTTATTTCATAAAAATTACACGGCCAGTTGAGGTAATGAAATTATAACATTATTTTTAATATTTTGTATTGAAATAAATATATATATATATATATACATACGTATACTTATGTTACATTATACAATTATTGTCCATTCTCTTCTGAATTATCTAATTATTCACATTTTCCCACAATGTTTAGACATAATAATTATATTGATGTTTTGACCAAACTCTTATGAAATTTATATTTATAAGAGAATTTATATTTATAATAGTGAGAGATTGTTGTTGGCCGTGGTAGACTAATGGCGAGATCTATCTCGATGATTTCAATAATTTATCTCTTCTCTAAGTAAATTATTTATGTAAGAATTTAAATGGGTCACTTACGAGTATGTTCTATTAATTAGATTTATTTATTCAAAAGTCTTGAGGAATAGATTTATCACTGTAAATTTATTCATAAAAATAAGAGAGTGATAAATTTATCACTGAATAAAAAATGAATAGAACTTAATGGTATTTAAGTCTCTTTAATGGGATTAGTTGGTAATTATCCTAATTTAAATTGGTTAGACAATTATAGTTACTAATCGGATTACATTTTGTTTTTAAAAAAGTGTACCGACTTGAATGATTGTAAAAATTGACCATCCATTATTTTGAAAATAAACTAATAGAATCATATGTGATTATAGTTATTCAATTAATTTAAATTCTTAAATAAATAATTATTTCTCAAAATTTTAAAAAATAAACGTTTCATATTATCGAGGTGAGTCATATGTTGACCCACTTAGGTCCACCAACACCATCTAATTAGAAATTTCTATTTACAGATATCTTTTTCTTAAATGGGTGCATCAATGATGGATTAAAGGAGTGTTGGGGATGATCGTAAGTCTAAAAGTTAAAAATAATAATAATAATAATAATAATAATAATAATAATAATAATAATAAAATCTCATATTATATTATTAGTTAGTATGATAATTTTAAAATTATATGAGTTAACTCTTCAAATTTATATATTCACATACTAAAATTATATATGTGATGGAAATTTTAAAAATAGTTATAGTCAAATTTTATTAAAAATTATCTAAAATTTTAAGTCTTCAATTACTATTAATCTGTTAGCAAAAATCTAGTTAGGGCCAAATCGACAAACGAGTTTCGACAGAAAACCCAAAATTTCACAAACAACAACAAATCAAGCAATTGTGGTTTGAATGTCCTATGCCTTGATAGATTCAAGGACTTCTTTGGAAGTTGTAATGCGAAGACATAAATGTGAATAGAAGAGAAAACCATTGTTTAGAAGGTATTAAGATGTGTGCGTGTATGCATATGTATATTTGCAAGGTTATTGTACATTAATACAAAGTGAAGTTTTGATAAGTGCTTTTAGAGCTAGGTTTTGAAGTTACACCAACATGGTTTTTATACTCATGCACATCAAGGCGATCAAAAACTGTCTCAAAAACCCAAATGGCAAAATCTCAACTATTCCAACTATAGAGAGCCTCTAAAAGTTTCTAATCCTTGCATTGGGGACAAAAGTCAAAACAAAATCGGTCCGCCTCCCCTACTTGCCCTTCATAAGGAATAGTTTGGAAGAGAATGAAATGCCGTAATATTTTGGCACCAAAGCAAGGTACCATTCCATTTATCCCCACTAGAGAGAGGAAAGTTAATCCCAACGCCCTGATGCCAATTTGATCAAAGAGACGAGCACCCGTGTACGGTGTACCATACCACGATATCAAGAGTAATGCTCTCAAAAGTTTGTCCAATCGGCAATATCTTGTGGGATCTTTAGGTGCAAGCGGTTTTTTTTTTTTTTTTAAATGTTCAGTATAAAAAGAAAAGAAAAGAAAAATAAAATAAAACAAAACAAAAATAAATAAAGAAATAAAACAAAGAAAATAAATAGTATATCAAATGGCTAAATACCCACAACTATAATAGTTCGGCGCAACCCAAAAAATGGCATGTTGGGTTGTCATGCAAGATGAAAAGGCCGCGGTAGGTCTCTGCAGCTACGGTAGATATAATGGAGTGACAAACCATTGCACGTCTATTGCTTTTTTTTAAAAATCCCCACTGGATTGTAATTACTCTACTGATGATTTCTGGTAAAGGTTTTCAAACCAAAATGTACAAGAACCAATGGTTGGTTAACCACCAAAACCACAAAAGGAAAAATAAGAAAATACCAACCAAATTAATACATGAGCTACACAATATGTTAACCAGATTTTTTATTTTTCTCAAATAAAAATGTTTCATCAAATTACTAAGTAAAATGCAACATTATTATAAGAGTAGAGAAACTATTGATTGAATCAAACAAAACATTAAATAAAAATAATGTAAAAAACAATCTAATTAAATAAGGAAAATACACACAGGATAATGAGAAGCAAAGAATACCTTATTTTATTTTTTTCCGACTCCACACATGCCATCAAAACTTCCAAGTAAACAACCTATTTTATTACAAATGAAAAGAAAAAAAATATATAAGAAACTATATACTCTTGATTCCAGGCATTGAAACCTATTAGAAAATAAAATAGTTGCACTCCAAAAGTTCTTGTTCATTAATATATATATATAAAAAAAAAACATATATATATATATATATATGCTCTAATAAAAATAATGCACGGCAAAAAAAATAATTCAAATAGTGAACTTGAATCTAGACAAAGATGAACTGAAGAAAAGAATGTAAACCCCTAAGAAGTGTTAACATGTCTAGCAATGACAATGAAGTAGAAACATTACCTGAAGACTGAGGGGGCATGTCTCTCAGCCCTTTCGAGTCTCAACCCATTAAAATGATGAAAACAAAGTGATGAAGAATGTGATCTAGTCTCTGTTTATTATGGGAGATTCTATTCCACACTTTTTTTTTTGTCTCTGTACAAAATTAATGAAGATAAAAGTTATGACAACTTTATCATGAAGCAAAATGACCATAATGACTACAAATTCAATCTAGATTTTCTATATACACATCTTTAAAAAACAATAATTCTCAGTGCACATCTTTAAAAAAAATTAAAATTAAAACTTAGTTCCTACATTGTTTCTCACTACCTCTATTGTTTCCATTACTTGCTACACTCCATTGTTACACTCTATCCATTGCTTCCATAAACTACTCTGATATCAAGTACTGAGAAATTGTAAAACATTCAGCACTACAGAGCCAATTTAATTTTAAAAAATCAAAATTTAAATATCAAATATTTATAAATAATTCCGAAGTATATAATTGAAAATGTACAATAATTTCGGAATATTTTTTCTGATTGGTGAGTGACTTCTTGTTTCTGAATATTTTTTCTGATTGATCTTTCAGTTCCTTCGGATTTCAATGGCTGCCAACAACAGCCCCTCTGCCCTAGAAAAAGAACAGGTACTTCATACATATACGGACATTGACACTATATATGTATGCTTATGAGATAGGCAAAACTATTAACCGTAAAAGATTACTTTTTTTGATGATTTTGTGCAGATCACGAAACCCCTCTCTTTTTTTCTTGAGATCGCGAAATGGAAGAACAATAACATATTATTGCTTTTATTGTTCACAAATACTGTAGGGTTACGGTGGGATGGCTGGGGAAAGAGGAGAGAGAAAGTGGAATTACCTGAAAATGCTTGGGGTTTCCGCAGCAATTGCTTTGGTTCTCCTACTCTTTATTCTCTGTATGCGGCTAGGGTTTCCCAGCAACCACTTCGTTTGCTCATAGAGAGAGAGAGAGAGAGAGAGAGAGAGAGAAGGCTTCAATCTGCAATAGTTTTGGTTCCAAAAAAAAATCCTGAAATAGTTATGAAATTTAAAAGGGCAAATTACAAATACCCCTCGAGATTTGGTGAAAATACAGATTTTCTTAAGATTTGAGAAATTACAAATTGCCCCTTGAAGGTCAAATTTATATAACAAATTAGAGGGAAATCTGTATGAAAATAAAAATCTCAGGGGTAATTTGTTATGGAAATATAAACCTCAGGGGGTGGGATGTAATTTCTCAAACCGCAAGGAGAAATCTGTATTTTCATTAAATCTCGAGGGGATATTTGTAATTTGCCCAATTTAAAAGGAAGGTTCTAGATAAAGGAAAATGGATAGGAGTACTAATTAGTGCCACTACAAATGATGTGATAGTGGTCCCACCTACTGTTACAATGTCATTGTGCCTTTTTTTTTCTTTTTTTTTTAAAAAATAGATGTCACATCATTAGTGATTGCTTTAGAGCACCACTTTTAGTGGTCTCTATCATTGCTCTTTAGATGAAATAGTTAGTATGTTATTTAATTTTCATATTATCATTAATGTATTTTGGGTAAATTATAAATATACTTTATGAGATTTGCTTAAAGTATAAATTATTTTTTGTAATTTAGAAAATGTGAAATATCTCTTTATCAGAATTTTTATTTAACAGAATTAACAAAAAAAATATAATTTATAATTTTTTTCGTATATAATAATGAAATTACTTAAATTATTAATTGAAATATGTTTCTAAAATTATTAAAAATTATTAATTGACTTAATAATTTTTTAATAAAAGAAGCGATTTGTTATAAAATTATAAATCTCGGGGGATGGAATATAATTTTTAAAACCATAAGAATGATTCGTATTTTAATCAAATCTTAGAAATATATTTTTAATTTACCCAATGTATTTTTTTATTGAAATAGATAATATTTTATATAAAAATAAATAAATAAATAAATAACTTATGATAGTATGTGAATGGTGGTACTCTCCCCCTCTCTTTCTCTCTGTACTACTCTTACCAGTTGCAGTATAATAAAAGTATTCAAGTACTGGTTGTAAGTATTTCTTTTCCATATTTCTTTTAATGTATGTCTGTTTATACTCTTGTTATATTAAATGATATATTAGCATTTCTTATTGAAAGGAAAAATAATTTTCTTGAAAACTTTTTATCAATTTGGCCTAATGACCCTTGGGGTCTCTTATTTCCAGAATACCATCGTAGAAGAAACTGTTCTCTATATTAATTCCGAAGATGTCTAATGGCTCAATGATCCTTGGGAAATTAAAAGGCGGTATTTGACTACTGAAAACTCTCCACCGCACTTTGATCAATACAGATACATTTTCGAGCAAATTCTTACTGAACTTGCGTCGATTGATTTTAAGCATACATTGGCTGAACCCAACCGTACTGTTAGTCCAATTAATTATAGCAAAGCTACTATCTAGAATATTTTATCCATGCATGCTTGGGGTATTCATCCCCATGTTACCCGCATAGTTAAGATTCGTAATAAGGAGTCTCGTTACAGTTACTGGGATTATGTAGATGCTTTTACTCAAGCATTTTATTATATGAATCCCCCTCCAAGCCATTCTTGGTTCTTTCGAGTTCTTCCCGACATCCTTAAAAACGATCTCCCCAACTGGTTTCTCGTTTGTTTCGAGTTCTTCCTGACGTCCTTAAAAACGATCTCCCCAACTGGTTTCTAGTTTGGTGGGATAAATTTGGTTTACAGCTCGATGCATTTCCAAAACCCATTCGTCTTGCATTCAATGAATGGCAAGCTGCTTATAGTCACCTTCCAGTCTACAAGGACATTTCTATGTCCAAATCTACAGTCCATTTTGTTATCAGATTCGGTATCCCATGGATTTGGAAATGGGATTTCCAGAACAAAATTCCCCGTTTAAAAAGAGTTTTCTTTTATAAATGGTGGAATAAAATGGATCATCCCAAACCTCACCAGGAACTTCTCCAAAAAATTAAAGCTCACCCACAGGCTTGTTGGGATACAACTCCCAAACTCATCCCAGCTGCTCCAGTACAAAACCCTTTTGTCCAGATTCAGAATGAATTAAGGCAAAATTTTCCAGGATTATCTGAGCAAGAATTAGTTATTAAAAGCATGGACTTTATGAAAGAACAGGCAAAATTTTCCAGGATTATCTGAGCAAGAATTAGTTATTAAAAGCATGGACTTTATGAAAGAACAATTCTTGCAGTCCTTCTCCAGAAATGATACCAGTATGAAATCTGGTTCCAGTAGCCATGGCGGCCATGATGAAGATGAACATTTTGATCCTCTTTTGGATGAAAATGAGTTTACAGTATCGGCAGGTGAATCACAAGACCCTGCTGACGCAAATGCTGATGTTGATCTCAACTTTTGAGATTTTTGGGATTCTCTCACAGGCCTGATTGCTGAAAAAATGAGTCAGGAAAAACAGTCAAAAGGAAAAGGCAAAGTTGAATAATGCTTTGTCCCCCACGATGTTCCAGTATCTTTACAGCAGCATAAGGCAACAAATTTGCTTTCGGCAAAAGTGGATTTTTTGTCTGCCAAAATACCAGCTGTCCATCCAGTTACATCCTACCGACATTTGAAGATAAGGAAATCACGAGGAGATAAGGAAGAACGACTCCAAGCCATTCAAGACACGCCACCTGTCTGCCTCATCCTTATTCTTTTATTTTCAATTTCTATATAAGGGATGCCTCACCCTTTTTGAAGGCACGCTAAATTTTTCAGTTTTTACTTATGTAAGTGTGTACTCTCCCTCTCTCTTTCTCTCTGTACTACTCTTACCAGTTGCAGTATAATAAAAGTATTCAAGTACTGGTTGTAAGTATTTCTTTTCCATATTTCTTTTAATGTATGTCTGTCTATACTCTTCTTATATTAAATGATATATTAGCATTTCATATTGAAAGGAAAAATAATTTTCTTGAAAACTTTTTATCAATTTGGCCTAATGACCCTTGAGGTCTCCAGCAATTAGAAGAAACTAATCGACAGATTAGCCAAGTCCAATTACAAATACAGGAACAAATTTGCCTTTTGGCTGCGGCCGTTAGGCCTCCTCCAGAACAGTAGATTATGAGACCATATATGGCATAATTAGAATAAAATAAAACAAAACTATGATTAATGTTATTCTTGGGTTAGTGCTTAATAATGGGTAGAACAGTGTTAGGATTAGTGGGACGTCACCCAAGTCACGTAGAGTTAGACCGTTAGCAGTGATTGCGGTTAGGTCATTCTCGTAAGTCGTTGACAGACGTGCTAGCTTTACCCTGTGTCAAGCACCATTATTGGTATCAGAACCAAGTTTACTGTTATTCATAGTTAGTTTTATTTCATTTTAATTATACATATATGGTCACCATACATCCAGATGAGTACTGTTCCTCCAAAAGAATTGTCAAATACAGTAGCCAACACAATGGCCAATACAGTAGCTTCTACATCAGAAGCCAGAGAACTTGTTGCTTATCAAGATGTTAAGGAAGCACTTAATAAGTGGACAATCCCAAAGGCCAAACCAAATACTATCTATAAGATAGGTATGCTAGACTTCTCCAGTAAAAAAATCATTAAAACTTTTGAGCATGCAGCCTCAGTCCAGAATAATGATGAACTTATGCATTTATTACATATCCAGGATCTATACCCTTTTCTACAGAAATATAAGTATGTCCACATAGGACTTGTGCAGGTAGCTTTCAAGCCTTTGACTCTTTTAGGTCAAAATACTAGCATACAGTGTACACTACGGGATGGTAGATGTACTAATTAGCGAGCCTCACTTATGGGGGCCATAGAAACCAGTCTCGCCCATGGTCCAGTATATTTTGACATATACCCAAACTTGAGTATAGCTCTTTCAGATCAAAATCTATCTAAGGTTTTGGAACTTAGAGTGTTATCTCATGGATATGAGTATCTTCCAGGATCCACACCTTTTACGGTAATTTTCAGAATTTATCTAAAGGTTTTATCCACCTTAAATCCATATATCAAAAAGCAAAGTGACCAAGGTCATACAGTGCTAATTGACACTAATCTTTACAGTAGCCAAGTAGCTATGCCAAAAATGATTGAATGGCCGAAAATAACTTTTCCAGAAAATGGCAAATCACTAATGTTATTCCCCCAAGACCAATTGTTCAACAGTCATTGGATGAAATAATTCAGACCGATGGAGGTAATGTTTATCTTCGTTTCCAAATGCCACAAAGGCAATTATCTCGAAGCATGTCAACCACTAGTGTTATATCTACCCCCTTCTTTAGAGAAGCATACAGGGTAGACTTTCCTGAATCATCTAGACATTCCACTGCTAAACCCCTAGAATCAGTTATGCAAGGAATGCCTTCCAGACCTCCTAGTAACCCTGACCAAACTCCAAATCCCATGGATCCAGTAGTTCAAGGATTACAATTTTCTGCAAATAGAATTCCACATGGTATTTATGAACCAAGAGAATCCAGTAGCAACCAGAGGCCTTACAGCCCTACTGCTAGTGACATGAATTTTGAAGTTTAATGGATTTTAGTCCAGGAAGTGAAAATAGGAAAATCCTCAATCAGGATTTATACCAGGACAAGTATTCAGAATTCAGGACATGATACTTTAGTAGCCATAGTCAGACACAATTACAAGAATTTAAAATCCAGTATTATTCTTATTTAGAAGAACACCAGATATTAAAACTTTTCCCTTTATGGTTTAAGGAAAATACTGAATATTCTAATAAGCAAATCAATGTTTTAGAAAATATCCAGAAAAGTTGGGTAACCACTGATGGTCAAAGTATTACTTCAATACACCCTCCTCCAAAATCTTTAGAATTACCACCTAGTGATTCTACTTCCAGTGAATATATAAATTTGAAGAGTTAACTCATATAATTTTAAAATTATCATACTAACTAATAATATAATATGAGATTTTATTATTATTATTATTATTTTAACTTTTAGACTTACGATCATCCCCA